CCTCCTCCTCCTCTTCCTCCTCCTCCTCCTCCTCCTCTTCCTCCTCCTCCTCCTCCATTTTATCCTCACAACAACCCAGTAACTTTAGGCAGGCTGAGGCACTTGATGTACTATTTTCTTTCCTTTCTCTTTCTTAAGAATTTCACCTAAAGTAAAGGCCAAATCTAAAGGAAAAAAAAGCACGGAAAAAGAAAAAAAGGGCCCAAAAAGAAAAAAGGAACCAACGTTATGAAATCCACAGGAATGACTTCCGACCTTCTCTACAACAGTTAATTACAATCTTATGGTCTTTCCTCCCTCTTAGATATTATACAAATCCCTTCAGCCCCTCACTTAATCCGCATCTTCCTTAATCCTCAAAGCCATGATATCCTTCTTTCTTATTGCATCCTTGTCCCTCCTTTTCCAAGAGAGCTGGAGAAAACATACTCGGGAATCACCCTATTCCAGTGTTTCTCAACCTCGGCAACTTGAAGATGTGTGGACTTCAATTCTCAGAATTCCCCAGCCAGCAAGCAATTCTGGGAATTGAAGTCCACACATCTTCAAGTTGCTGAGGTTGAGAAACACTGCCCTATTCATTGTATGCTTGCAGCAAGAACCTTTCTAGTCCCACCTTAGGCACAAGACCAGCTGGGTGACCTTGGGCCAGTCACTCTCTCTCAGCCCTAGGAAGGAGGCAATGGCAAGCCGCTTCCAAAATCTCGCCAAGAAAACTGCAGAGACTCATCCAGGCTGTCGCCAGCACTGACTTGAAGGCCCCAAAACCACCACCACCAGCAACCTTATGAAGGAGATTGTCTCAATAGAGCGTGACTGGCTGTAACTCACCCTGGTTGCATCCAGACAACATGTCACAAGACCTAATGGCGCATCCTTTAACACACAGAGTGGATTAATGCCAACCTTGGTTTATTTCGACTTAGCCTGTTGGGGAAGTCCATACTGTGGGCAGTTCATCATCTGTATGACCTCAAAAGAAAACAAAGCTGCAACGGATATGCTCCATGTTCACACAAGCATCTGCACCAGGGTTATCCTGGTCTAGGTTCCAGACCATTGTGCTACGTTGGCTCTTGACAGACTGAGCTACTGGCCAGCCACCAAGTGGCTGACCCTCGTCCTCTGAATCTGGTTCTGTCCCATTTGGCAGCTGCACCGGGGCCGCGCTCTGGCCCGTGGCGTGCTTTTCGACACGTCCGGATGGGGCTTCCCTCCAAACGCGGGCTGAACCCTCCGTTAAAACTCAGCCGTGTCAGAGGAGGAACCCCAAGCTGCAAAGATGTGAAGGTGTCTACACGAGCAGGCGATTGTGGGGAGATGGGATTTGCGAGAAGGATGTGAAAGGAGAGTCACTTCGCTTGGAAAGGCTTCTACAAAAAGTCTTGATCAGACAATGAGCAATTATGAGACTGTTTCGCATCAAGTTTCCATGACATGAAAACAAGAACGAATAACAAGTCAGAAGAGAAGCTGTCTGGGGAAACGGAGTGGGCGGCGAGGGGAATATGCCTCTTTGGCTTACAGGAAAGGAGGGAGACAAACGGGTACATTGTGTAGCTGGGAGACCCCGGGGCAAAAACTGTCTGGCGGGCGAGGTGCGCAAAACGCATTTCTCCGAAGCGCAGAAGTCTGGAGCAGACGTGTGTGGGCCTTGCTGGAAGTCTGGGAGAATGTTGGCTGGCAACCAAGTCGGAGGGTTGTCCCGTTTTTTTTTTAAACAGGACATTTTGCATGATGTTTCCTGGTAGGATATAGAACGGAGAATCTATGCGGTGCCTTTTCTATATAAGCCAGACAAATGATCGGGGGGGGGCGATGTGAAGAGGGTGGGAAAGTCAAGGGGTAGATTGCCCCCCCAAGTGGAAGTTCTATTAATCTCATGGTGGGTAATAGCAGGGGACACCCTAATGTAACCCTGTTCTTTTTGTCAAGTAGTCTGGGTAGCGCATAGATAACATTCAGGAAAGGGAAGGGAAGATGGGGAGGTTTTGCCTACAGTGTTCACATTATTCAGGTGGTGTTGGATATATTATGGAATATGTGCATGCTCAGTAATGTAAAAAGCAATTCCCTCTTTGAAGAATCTTGATTTCAATTTTGTTGGTGACCTGTCCATTTCACCGGTTTTGTAGTGTTTTATCAGTGTGCTGAAAAATGCACGTATCCGTAAAACCCTGCAGAAAGAGAATCTTGTTGCAACCCCAGAAGAGTTTAGAGCAGTGTTTCTCAACCTTGGCAGCTTGCAGATCTGTGGACTCCAACTCCCAGAATTCCCCAGCCAGCATGGACCACGAGGGCTGATCCTGCCTGATGTGCTAAAACATCTCCCTTTCCCAGCTGTATTGCTGTTCCAATGCACAAAAACAGGTCCTCTATTTCTTTGCCCATTCCACTGACCCAAATAATAATAGTGTTGCCTCAAAATTTAACGATGCTTATTGATCCCAGGAAAGATGCCTGCCCATCAAAACTACTCTGCTGAACATCATAAAACCTGGTAATGTATTCTTTAAATTGTTCCTTGATGCCCTTCAATATTCCATACGCCACTCCAAGAGCAAGCTTACACGTCTCCAAAAGCCTTGTTTTGATCAACTGGCAAGAAACTGCTGGCATGAGGGCTAGAAACTTTCTTTAGGGTTGTTTTTTTTTAAAGAGAGAAGATTGCATCCATGTTTCTCTAGAAGCCAAATCCCTCTTCTAGTTGACATTCCCAAACTCGCTCTCTCTCTCTCTCTCTCTCTCTCTCTCTCTCTCTCTCTATATATATATATATATATATATATTCCTTTAATTTGTTCTGTGTGCCACTGCCTCTTCATTCTATGTCCTCACTCGCTAAGTTTGTTGTTCATCTAAGGTGTATGTATGTGTATGCATATGTGTGTGTGGTGTGTGTAAATATATATAGACACCCATGCACATTTCATGCTCTTAACTAGCACTGTAATGTAAAACACAAAGTACTGTGAGGTGTGGAAAGGAACGGTAGTACATCTGGTTTTCTTTTCCCCCATTTTATCCTAATAGCATTGCAACTTAAGGATGCCTTATAAAATGTCCTTTAATTTGTTCCATGTGCCACTGCCTCCTCATTCTATTTCCTCACTCGCTAAGCTTGTTGTTCATCTAAGGTACAAGCCCCTGCCAAGCCAGGAATTCTGAGTAAGACTCCTTGGCTAAGATAAATAGACTCAGGATATCGAATATAGCAGCAAACCAGTTTTGTAGCTAAGAAAATGGAATGATGATATGAGGACGCCTGCCTTGGGCAAGGGGTTAGATAGAAGACCTCCAAGATCCCTTCCAACCCCATGATTCTATGATGACTCTATGACTCTATGATTCTATGACTCTATGATTCTATGAAAATGACAAGAACATGACCATGTAGACGGCACAAGTCAAGCTCAACTAGGAGAAATCTTTACTTTTATCAAATTCTTCTACAGTACCTCATACTACTTGACTACTTCTGGGAGTTGAAGTCCACACATCTTAAAGTCGTCAAGGTTGAGAAACTCTGTTTAAGGGAATGGTCATCCTATGTCCCTAGACTGCTACAGGTCATTTCATGAGCTTAGAAGCTTAGAAGGTAACTGTCAACTAATTGCTGGTAAGCAGAGCTGGGGGGGGGGTGTTAGCTGGTGGTATAAAAATATAAGAAATAAAATAAAAGTAAAGTAATTTGGCTGCTTTCTGATTAGGACTGAAAGTGGGTGAGTGGTGTAATAAATAGGGTAAATGGGCTATTGATGAGCCACTTGCAAATATTAGTACTGAGGTAGCTACTGATCACAGAAGGGGGTCCTCAAGGGTCATCTATCCCAACCCTCTACTGATGCAGGAAATCTGTTCTTCAGCATTCTCTATAGCAGTGTTTCTCAACCTTGGCAACTTTAAGATGAGTGGACTTCAACTGCCAGAATTCCCCAG